GATTTATAACAACCAGAAGTGTAAAATGGCCGACCTTAGGTTGAAAAATATATACCTCTACAAGCATGAAATTATATACCTGAGGTTGAAAAATAATTTCCTGATTCAAAATACATTTGAGGCTGATTTATAACAACCAGAAGTGTAAAACGACACACCACAGGTTGATAAATATATACCTCTACAAGCATAGAATTATATACCTGAGGTTGCAAAACAATTACCTGAAGTCGAACAAAATACACCTGAGTTAGATTTATAATAACCTGAAGTGTAAAATGACACACCTTAGGTTGCTGAATAAATACTTCCACAAGTGTAAAAAAATATACTTCAGGCTGATAAGTAATAATCTAAGATTGAAAATGAAACACTTTAAAGTAGTAAATATCTACCTCTCCCCAGATGTAAAATTAAACATCTCAAGTTGAAACATATATACCTCTGGAGGTATATTTAAGGTATATTTGAGGTTAGTTTTGAGGTATTCATTTGCACCCTTTTTAACCTCAACGACGTATTTAAATAACAACCTCCTTTCTACCTTTAAAATATACCTCTTTTATACCTCATTTATACCTCGATTTTTTCATAAGGGAAGTACTGGCATACATACATAAAAACTATAAGACTTAGTCCCTGCTTGATATCGCTCGCCAATCCTCAATAATTGCTACGTATTTATTTTTTGTTTGCTTCGCAATAAATTATTTTATTGTAATTTTTTCCGTGCTTTTTTACGAAGTTGGCATAAAACAGTTTTTTCTACGAAAGTTGAAACTATTTATTTACTTATATGTGTACTTAAGAAAATCGTGTTTGCTTACGTTTCCCACGTTTAAACATTTCTCTCAAGATTCTATTCAGATCTAATAGTAAACATTAATTGTCCGAAATGCGGGAGCTAGGTATACTTTGTCTATGCTAAGAACTCCTCCAGCCACAAAGTGTGACGCCGTCTATTTGTATGGAAACAAGAATGGCGCATTTTAGGGAGGGTAGCTTCACTCTAGGACTAACACAATAGACCGAATAGATTCCCTTTCTCTCGCCGACCCGACCCGAAACCATCACTCCAAAACAGTGACCCTGCACCCCTACTTGAAATAGTCATATCTCGTTACCATGGTCACCGTCACAGATTCAGACGAATGTTTGGATGAATTTCTTATCTTAGACAAACTATACCCGTTTCGTTGCAGCTAACCAACTTCGATGATTGCTTGTTCTCACTAATTGTCAAATCTTTAGTGTATGGAATTCCAGGTAAAATTACGGTAAAAAGTACTGACACCCTGGGTGCAGCGTCCGCAAAATCAATTTCAGCCGTTAAATTTTATACCGTAGCTTTTACAGTATTATTTATTTAATTACAGTGATTTTGCACTGAATCCTACACTATATTAGGTTTCTCGTACCGTAATATTTTGTGGCAAAAAGTCCTGGCACACAGTGTGTCAGTACTCTTTTTTACATTAAATAAAACCTGTGCATCGTACATGAGGCTAATCGTGAAGCTCTACATCATTTAACAAATCTCTTTAAAAAAAATTTACATTATAAAAAATTCAAATTTTAAAACATTATCTAATGAATTTAGACACCGATTCAACTAAATAAAAAACTAAGTAATAGCAGAATGGAATATGAAAAATAATTAGTTCATCTAAATACCTTTAAATTAAGGATAAAAAAATATTTCATAGGAGGAGGATATTTTTATGACTTTTATTAATTTTGTGTTTAATAAAAACATCTACAAAGCAGTCTGACTACAATATGAGACAACTTTATTTTTATTTTATACAAATATATTCACTTAAATTGAAACTGAAATATGGATGAAATGAAATTCAGAAATAATGAATAAAAAATACTTCAAACACAACAATAGTGGCTGTCAAAAATAAAAAACTTTGTAGAAATGACATGTAAATTGGGAAGAAAAAAATTGGCATTCACAACTTTTTGCTAAACTTGAATTGTTGCAATCACAGAGGTCACAGAAGAAATCAATTGTTTCACAAGTGGTTGCAGACAATCGGCTGGAAAGACCCAACTCCTGCGATTTGAATCAAAAGACAATAATCAATAAAATTAGTAGATTAGGAGAGGGAGAGAGCTGTGAGAATTTATCTAACATTGGATCGTTGGGGGTTGTTTTAAGTTTTATTCGGCCAAATTCCAATTCCTTTTTTAATTAACAAAATGGTCACTCAAAATATAAAATGCATTTCTATAAGTCCCGCAGTGGACTGATTGTTAAGACAAGGTTTCCAGCAGATCACCAAAGTCAAGTATCACTGGTTGCGGTCAGTGTGCGGTGGGTGAGCAGTTGAAATAGTCTGCGTAGGGATCGAGGGTGTGCCGTATTGGTCCTCGTTAGACTGTTCTACCGTAAAGTGCTCGTCTTCGCGTGCAGGTCGTCGGGCTACCGAAGGGGGGGGGGTGCCATCCCCTCTGCAGAGGATCAAAATTGTGATGGCATGTCTTCGGATCATTCTTAGGGACGTTTCCCAGAAGGTCGCCAAAAGCCCATTGTGCAGCTCTAGTGTGACGTAAATGAACTACAACAGCAATATCATTTTTATAAATTTTCAACAAAAAAAAAGTTCAAATGTTAGTTTAATCAGGGCCTGAAACATTAATAACCTAAACATTTTGGCAATAAATTGTCAAAATGTCTTAGGCCCTGGAAGGCCCTAAAAAAATTTTCTAAAATTTTTTTTGGGCCTTGGTCTGCAATCTAATTCTAATCCCCGAAACCGGTCCTCGGTTCATTGTTTTGACAGCTCTCTAGTTTTGACCATCCACTGATTTACTAATTAGGTCGTTCTTTAGTTTATCAATTCGTTAATTTATAAAACTCACTTCCCCTCCCCCATTCCCCTGCAATTTTTAATTAGGAACCCAAAAATCTGTTACTGATATAAACTTAAAATTTATATAAAAGTTTAAAGCTATTCTTGCTCTTAAATCACGATTGTCGATTAAAATATTAATCACAAATATTAATCACTTGTATTTTTCAAAGCAAGAAAAATTTAAGTTTCCTCTAAGCTAAAAGAAGAAAAGAATAAATAAAATTTTAACCATTTTTATAATAAAGCTATTAGTTAGCTATAACTCTTAACTATAATATCATGATGCTATTGCAGCTGGAGTCACGAAAGGTCGAACGATAAACATTGATTACAATAATAATTATTTTTTACAGATTTTTTAACCCGTACAAAAAACAGGTGTTCAGCTAGTAATATAATTTATTTAAAGTCATTTCATCGATAATTTATCATGATTCATTTATTGATCACCTTATTGGTTAATTTTATCATAAAATTTATTTACTTATTTGATGAGCATTCGATTCAACTAATAAGTTTAAATTACTAAATTACATTAGTATAATAATTACTAAGTTATAAATTAATTTTGAATACTTATTATCCGCTTTCCTGGGTTTTATAGATTAAGGATTACATTGAACCTTTCTATCAAGAACAACCTTGCTGGTTACTTTTTTCTTTTCGTCAGAACAACTTGTACTTTTACCTTGTAAATAAAACTTGTTATATATCATAACCCTCGTTGAATAGAAGATCCATCTAGATATTCTTATAAATTTGAATATGATCTTGAAAATAAGGCATCCCTGGATCAAAATCTCTCCTGGACAAACTCTGCTTCGTTAACGGCAACTCACCTACATTTGAGTTAAACTTTGAGAAAACCATAAAAACTTTTCACTGTTAACCCGGTCCCGCAGTGGACTGATCGTTAAGACACGGTTCCCAGCAGATCACCGAAGTCAAGCATCACTGGCTACGGTCAGTGTGCGGTTGGGTGACCACTTGGATCAGTCTGCGTAGGGACCAAGGGTGTGCGGTATTGGTCCTCGTTAAACTGTGCTACCGTAAAGTGCTCGACTTCGCGTGCAGGTCGTCGGGCTACCGAAGCGGGGGTGCCACCCCCTCCGCAGAGGATCAAAATTGTGATGGCATGTCTTCAGATCATCCTCCGGGATGTTTCCCAGACCGTCGCCAATAGCCCATTGTGCAGCTCTAGTGCGACGTAAATTAACAACAACACTGTTAACCCGAGAGAAGAAAGACTTTATCCCATGAGTCGTCTAATACTTGGAATACTTCTCGTTATTACTATGGTCCATGTGAGCGATATATTTACGAACCAATAAATCGTCGATGGAATTTGAACCCGGGTCAAATCTTTGAGAATTGAGTGCTTTTTCAGCTAACAGGTTCAGTTAGTCTTGACCGTTGATCATAGTTCTCCACCGAAAGCCTTGACCATGGATGCTAAAGCGATGCTCTAGATTCCATGGCCTTGACTAGGAAAACAGCGGGTTACCATGCCTCTTTCCATGTGATGCATCCTTCTTTTTTTTCTTGGTGTTTGTTCTAATCATGGAGGGTAGATAATACACTAGCGTTTAGAAATTAAAAAAGAGAGGAAATGCTTGAAAGCAATGAGAGTGACCTCGTTTTTACTTTTTTCCTTCCGCAGTTGTAGAGTACACAACTAGTCTGAATGTACCCGTAAAGAAATTTTTATTTTGTAATTAATTTAAAAAGTAAGCTATAAGTTGAAATATTTTCTAGCACAAATTATATCAAATGTACTAACCTTGTCAACTTGCTCCCACCTTATTTGTGTATCGAGTGTTCGTCTCATTCGTGAAAATATTATAAATTTTGTATTTATCGTTTAAAAATGAGTATAGCTAAACGTCAGAAAGTAGATAATAACGTAGTAGATGGGATAATATCATTCAAATGTGGACTTGTAAGATAATATTTTATAATAAATGCGCTGTTCAACTGTGAAGTCGAGTATTCGGTTTACTCTGAAACTAATTATTCACATAAATAATTGGTGTAAATTTTCTAAATTTAGTTTACCTGTCTTCGAATTTCATAAATTTCTATTTTGTGGTTTAGCAAAATCTGATTTTTTTCCATTATGAAAATAGAAAACTTAATATTCAAATCTTATATTAATTTTTTTTTTTTCTCAAGAATTTCAACTGATTGGAAAATGAAGAGAATAAATTGAAAACTCTGTAGCAGAGTTTTTCAAATTATTCTTTAAAAATGTCCATTCTTAATTTATCAATGTAATTATTGAAGTAGGATGACAATCTATTGTTGATTGTTGCTATCTTGTTAATTTTCTGATAGACTTTTTTTCCAAAAGAATTTATCAAGCTGAAATGTTGGATTATTTTCTTCATTGTTTAAAAAGAAAATATTTCTTCAGAGTTTCTCAAATATGTTCATACTTGTTAATTCAGTGGAATCATCATCAGAGAGTGATGAAAATGAAACACTAATGAATTCTCTGAAAAATGTTTTTTTTCATAAAGAATTTTTCAAATTAAAATGTAGGATTTTTCCTCTTTTAAATATGATTTCGTCAAAGATACGAATGGTGGGTAACATTGCTCAGGCGATAGAATCTCTACTTTATTCATTTATTAATATTCAAAAACATTAATAATCTATTTATCTACATATTTACAGCTATTACATTTATTGATAAGCAAAACATAAGAACTTTCCAAATTAGAAAAGAGCAATATTTCAGGTGTTAATCCGGAAAGAAATTAGATCCTTTTAAAGACTCTTCTCAAACCCATAACAAAAATAGATAAGGAAAGAAAATAAAACGAAGAAAATAAACAAAATAAAGAATTAAAATAAAAATAAAGAGAATAAAAAAATGAAGAAATAAAATTAATAAAAAAATAATTATTCTCTACTTAATTTTATAATACTTTATTCATTTTAGTTTTACTGGATTCTTTTTTAATTAGTTTAATTTTACCTGAAAGGCCAATATAAATGTGTCGTGTCTATTAATGTGCTGATCTATCTCTGCACTCAGGTTTGTTATAGAAATCTTATAGCATTTTTTAATCTTTATGTTTGAAAGTATCCTTTAGCCAAGGTAGCTGGGAGTAATACAAAAGTATTATAAACAAACTACTCTCAAAACTGACCTTATTAAACAACATTTTATGAATTAAAGAAATTATTTCCTATGCTTCTTTACTTTGTAAAACTATGAAAAAACATTAAAGGTAAAAGAAGAGCAATATGGAAAAACTGTTTAATAATCTTCAGACTATAATAATAATCTAAATTGAGCATTTTCTTATGGAGATTGGAACTTAAAATATTTACTTGGTTTTTTTTAAGGAAAAAAAAAGTGTGTAAGGGAGAATGAGAGTAAAGGCAAGTCAGAAGAGGTAATAGGGCATAAATTATCCCCATTAAATTTTCTGTAATGGTTTCTGTAATCTTAGGAAAAATATTAAAATTTTTCTCTCTTTTTTAAATTTTTTTAAATTTTTTATCTAAAAAGCTGTTTTAAACAATCTACCATCATATATGTCCTAACACTAAAAGCTGTGTAGAGGCAATTGCCCCTACTGGCACCCATGCTTTCAAAGGGTTTCAAAAAAGCCAATCTTTTCTGAAAAGGCCAGCTAGTTTTTATTAAAAAGCCTGTATTAGTATTTTCAATATTTATTGCTCAAAATTAAAATGTATGTAGTTAAATTTATTTTATTGATGACTTCTGAGAAATGTAGTAAAATATGTTATGGTTTTAATTTTACTTTCTCTAATGGATATTTATTCTATAAAATGTTATTAATTTTAATAATGTAATTGCTGCTCTATATTTGCTTCTTTTCCAGTCATTTTTGTCCAAAATTGCTTCAAACATATTTCAACAGTGTTCTCATGTTAAAAGGGGATTTCTAATTATAGTTCCAATTAGTTTAAAATTCTTGCTCTTAATACTTCCAAGGTTAATTCCATTTCCTTACTCTATTTTTATGCACAAAGTTGCTATTCCAATTTCTTTCTACCATACAATCACATTACTGTAATACTTAATTAACAGCTTTAAATCCCTTTTACATTATTACAGTTTTTGTAAAATATTAACACCAGCTAAAATTAAAAGAACTAAATTTATTAGTTCTTTTAATTAAATTAATTCTTATTATTTAATTTATTTTAATTAAATTAATTTTAATAAAATTAATTCTTTTAATTTTGGTGTTTTTAAAAGTGGCTTTTTTTTAAAAGTGGTATAACCTTTCCTCCCCCCCGCCAAAAAAAAAAAAAAAAAAAAAAAAAAAAAAAAAAAAAAAAAAAAAAANAAAAAAAAAAAAAAAAAAGGAACAAACTTGACTGCTTTTTTTGATTTGGCTAAAATCCAGCAACTCTATGCTTTGCATCTCTGCCTAAACTCTGAAACTCTTAGCATTTTCCAAATGGCAAATCTGAATGAACACACTTTTGAAAAGATTTGTTGTTCAGTCTTATTTTATTATGAGTTTTGTTGTTCTGACATCAAAAAATCATTATAGATATGGAGTTTTGTTGTTCTGACCTGACTTATTCTATAATGATATGTATTCTATAATGTTGATCTGTGTTTATTCTAGAATGATTTTTGTTGTTCTGTCGTATTTTGTAATGATTTTTTCTAATTCTGAGTATGTTATTTTTTACTATGTAGGATGAATGTTTGCCCATATACTCTTTGGAGAATTTGAAAAATTGGAAACCATTAGTTAAAAATCATAGGACTTTTCCACTTTTAGAAAGAGAACCAATAAAAAATCACCCAAAAACTTTAGTGTGTCATGACATGAAGGGAGGATATTTGGAAGATAGGTGAACTCTTATTTCTTAATATTTTTACTTGAGTTTAATGTTATAAAAATATGTATAAATAAAATAATAAATTAAACTATTTTGGAGATTGATAGGGATTATCTACCTTATTATTAAAAATCTCTTGCAAAAATGTGTTTAAGTTATGTGTAATTTAAACTGAAAAAACAAAATCTGTAGCCAAAGTCAAGTAAACGTAAGTCAATGCCTACTATTTATCTTCTGATTAAAATGAAATGTGGTTCAAATTTTAATTTTTAAATCATTGTATCATTGTGTGGTTAAGTATTAAATAACTTGTTAATGTTTAAAACTATAATTTTGCTGACTTTGAAGCATTCTTTGCTATAGCCAATTATTTTTATTTACAAGTAAATATGCATTTGTGCATAATTGATGCCAACTTCAAAATTTTTTAAAATTTTATTTCCAATGACAAATTTATTGGACAGTAGTTACAGCACAATAAGAAAAGTGAAATACTATAAAAGAGGGTAAACATAATGCAGTAACTTGAGTCCATTACTTCAAAAGGTCTCAGGCTTCTCAATATTGCTCGGCTAGAGAAGACTTGCTCAAAGCAGGACAGTGCGTAAGTAAGGAAGCGGGAGACATAAATGTCAAGTTGTAGATCTTTTAACCACAAAGTGTTACCAGGGTGCACCACGAGAAGGTAGACCCACTGCGCACCCCACTTCAAAAATAGATTGTACCATTTTTTTTTTACATATTTTTAGCAGTAAACCAATACTTGTCTTTTGTTTTAAAATTTTTTGATGTACATTCCTTTTTCCTGTAGAAAATTAATATCTAATCTAAATCTTCCGTTTAAAAATATCTAAATCTTTAAGCAATATGATGAAGCAAAATTTAAAAAAGAATGTTTTTTTAGTATTTTATCAAATTACTGCATATATTTATTTTGAAATTTTTTTGATATTAAACATAAAAAATAATGATTGATAAAGCTGAATGATTTTCATTAGTAATTACAATATTTTTTTCAAACTTTTCCAATATATATATATGCATATATTTTTGCAAAAATGGGCCCCAAAAAATTAAACTTGGATCAATTCTTGGAAACATTTGATAGTGAAATGAAAAAGAATGTTATTGACTTACATTGAAGCATGTATCAAAATATTAAGCATATCCAAATAGTTCATTGAATATATAGATTTATTCGCTAATCTATTTAGCTTACTGCTGGCACTCCAACAGCTAGTGTGTAAAAATTTACCCCAGAATGGTATCAATAATTAGCAATTTTTTACAACCCTCAAACACAAATTACTATTTTATTTTGTTTCTTAGTTTTGTTTATACTTCCAGAGAATCCTTAAACTTTTTAGGCAAATCTTGTATTTATTCTAATTCATTTGGATTAGCTGAAAAATTGAAAAAAAAAATACAATAGTTATCAGTGAAAGGTATCAAAAGCGTTTTTATATTTCCTCTCTTTGTAGGCACATAAATGGTTCTAATACAGAAGAAAATTATTATTTTTTGCATTGGACCGGTATTGATATTTTTGTTTACTTCAGTCATCATTTAGTGACTATTCCTCCCTGTGGTTGGATTTCTGCTGCTCATAAAAATGGTGTCAAGATATTAGGTAAGGACTGTCATAAACAAATTGTAAATAAATCCATTGTAAACAACATTGTATACATTGTGAACAAATTTATATTTCTGCACTTTAACAAAATGTCATTTTAAATAATAATCTTTCAAGTTATTTTAAGAAGTTCGTATTTGCCAAACTGTTCTGAGATTAATTTAGCACTTTGCAGAAACTGATTTTCGTAAACATTGTTTATAATAAATTTATTATTTTTAATAATTATCTATGTTAATTATAACAAAATTAACATATATATTTTTAGTATATTTTAGCTTCAAGGAAAAGTCCAATTATTATCCAAGTATGGGTTTAAAAAAGGGTTTATTATATATCAGCTTCTTTTTTTTGTGAAGAAATAATTTTTTTAATGTATTTTTATACTTGAGTCTATATTCATTGAATTTTTTTGGCATCCGTAATAACATTGATTATTGAAGGCAATAAGAAATTATATGTTTAATGAAGTATCTTTTTTTTTCAGTTCTAATTTTTGTGCTTGATTTTTTTCCATTAAATTTTTTGGACATCAGATGAAAATTTTCAATTTCATAGATATAAACCACTAAGTTTAGAATAAAAAAAAAATAATAATAACAAAATTTTTTATACATATAATAACACTCAATTATTATATTAAATAATTAAAACAAGCAAAGTTATTTAATGTCTTCTTATTTTATGCAGGTACATTTATTACAGAATGGGATGATGGGATAAAAGTGTGTGAAGCACTTTTAGAAAATGAAGATGCCGTGGAACAACTTAGTGCACAACTAGTCAAAATTGCGAATTATTTTAATTTTGATGGATGGCTGATTAACATTGAAAATAAACTTCAAGTAAATACTAACTTTTTTTAAATCTCAATTTTTATGAAAATTAAATATTCTATCGAAAAATAAATCTTAGTGTTATTAATCCAGTTTACATTCAAAACATGGTTGACGGCTTTAAGCTAGGCTGAAAAAAAAGTTATTAAAACAAAATATTTTTTCAAAATCTGAGATAATAAAAAGAAGCTTATTGTTATCAATTAGTTACAGTGGTGTTACTTGGTGTTAGAAACAATATGGTGCAGCAGTTTTGCACCTTTAAAACCTGTTATTTTGAAGACATAGCTTTAAACTTTAGAAGCGTTAAAAAATTTTTTTAACTGATTGGAATTCCCAACTTTTATAACCAAATAAATTTTTATTATTTTAATTGACTCTTACAGTTTTAGAGAAAATTCCTGGTAAAAAGAAGAGTTAACACAATGTTTGAAAAATGTTTATTATGGAGCAATTGAAGTGCAGCTGGGATGTTTTAAAACGGGATTTTGATTTGGTTTCAAAGTAAATAAAGTGAAATGCTCACTTACATTCTAATTGTTTATGCAATAAGTGCCACCAAAAAGTAAAAATAAAAAATATGTTTAATACTCTACTGTTAAAATGTACTGTAAAAATTTAATGTACATAATCTTAAGGTTGTTAGTTTCATGATTATATTTGTATATCATATTTATGAATGATAATTTTTAATATGTCTTTATTATATAAAATTCTATGATACATGAAAATTGGAAACATTATTATTTGATATTTGGTTTGATTTTAATCATAGTGAATGCATTTTATTTTGTTTATCTGAAGTGCTGAAAAATATTAAGTGAGCAATATATTATTGCAAATTATTTTTACAAATTATTCATCAACTTACTGGCATTTTAATTCCTCATTTAATTTTTTAGTATAAAATTTTAGACAATTTCTACTCCAGAGTTTCCATTTAAATTAATTTTTTTCAAAGTTGATGAAATTCCAAACATTAATTAGTTTTAAACTTATTCCGAGAAGCAAGAAATTATTAATTGGCAACAGTGAAATACACTTTACGTTTTTAGATAAAATTCATATTTTTAACAAAATTAATATTAATTATTTAGTTTAGTGAGATTTAAGTTTTATGCTATAAAAATGAGCACATTTTCCTTTCTATACCCTCATTCTCTGCTCCCATCCTAGGTTTTTGACAGTTTTTGATGATTTAAACTAGTTTTTGACACTTATCATAACAAAGTCAGTTTCTTAATCAGAAAGCTAACCTTCTTTTCTATTAAAAATTAAAGCTAACCCTTTTTTTCTATCAATAATGAATTTGTTATTATAATCAAAGATTTTAATTGAAAAAAAAGTCATTTATTAGGTTATAGATAGCAGGAAGGATAAATAAATTTTATTTCCTTCAATGTTTACATTTTCTTACTTGCTGTTTTCTATTATCTCCTTGCAATATTGTTGCTTTCTTTAATTTCCTATTTATCTTTACAGTCATGCCAAATATCACTTTTAGAACTTTTTTTAAAGACACTCACTAAAAAGATGCATTTGAGTCAGGAAGGATCTTTAATTATATGGTATGATAGTGTTCTTAAAACTGGCGACCTGAAATGGCAAAATGCTCTCAATGAAAACAATAGGTATCTATATCTATTAATTTCCATAAATTAAAATTATCATTGTCAATAGCTTGGCAGCCCAGGCTGGGCCTTAATTAAGATTCTAATTTTATTTATTTTATGGCATATTCAAAGTCGATAGAAGGTATGATTTTATATTATTTGACTTCTATGAACAATTATTAAAAATTTCATATGAATACACAAATTTCCCAAAGACTACTTTGATGGAAAATTTACTAAGTTATATGATGTTTAACAAAGCTCTAATCAAATTCATTTTTTTTTTAAATTTGAAATGTCATATTTTGTTATGTATGAAATTATTAATACTTAATAAGATCAATTATTTTTCTATTCATTTATAAGTTATAGAAATTATTACCATAATTTTAATAATCTAGATCTGCCAGATCTGAAAATTCTTTAGAAGCAACTGTAAGTCTCTTTATAAAACATAAAAATGCATGTAAAAATACTAGAGAATAATATTCTAAAAATTAAAATCATGATAAAAAAAGAATAATTATTAAATATGTAATCACAGTTAATAAGTCTAATTTCAGTAATGATAATTTTAATATTTAAATGTTATAGAAAATAATTACATTAAATTCAAAAGAATTAGTTACAATAAGTTTAAACTGATAGAATTTCTTAAAAAGTTCAGTGTCTTTACCTAGAGGCATCACTTTTAAAATTGTTAAACTAATTTGCTGCAATTAATTCTCCTTACGAAACATGAAAATATCATGTAAAAACACTGCAGAATAATATTAAAAAAATCAGAGTTTTGATTGAAGAGAAAAAACATTACATTTAAATATGAAATGATATTTGATAAATCCAAATTCCATAATTCTAACTTTAATTTACAAATGTTATCAAAAATATTTATTTGAAATTCAAAAGAATTAGTTATAGTAAACTTAAACTGCTAGAATTTCTTAAAAAGTCCAGCCAGACGCATCTTTTTTAAAATTGTCCTACTAATTTTTTGTATTTAAAAAATAGTGTTTAAGTAAATATTTTTTAAGCAGTCCATACTTCTAAATTCGTCCCTTATTCGTTGAAAAGAAAGATAGAAAGATAAATTCTCATAAAAATATTACTTTTTTCATCGACACAACAGAATGGCAACTTTTGCAGAAAAATTCAATTCCTACTCCAAAAAATATTTGACATAACATGGTTTTGAGTGAAATTTCTTTGATATAAGAATTAGATATAACTTAGAATTTGCTGATGACATTGTTTTATTTGCCATCAAATAGGAAGATCTTCAGTCCAAAACAACTATTTTTGAAATTTTTTCAGGAAATGTTGGATAGAAAATAAATAAGCGTAAAACCAAAACTTGTTTTGTTGCAAGATTTTGCTTGTAATTAGAATTGAAAGTGGTGAAATTTAAATTCATACGAAATTTAAAGAAATGAAAAAATTTACATGCCTTGGTGCAATATTTCATTGGAAGCTAAGGACAGAAGAATAAATAGGATCAAGAATTTTAAAAGCACAATATTGCTTTAAAAAGTTGATAGTGGTTTGGTTTGATCAATTTCTTTAATGCTATTGACTAAAATTAATATTTTTAATTCAATGGTAAAGAATGTATTAATATATTGGTCAAAAAACATGGAAACCTACAAAACTACATAATAAAAAGTCAAACAGTTGGTGAAACAGATGCTTAAGATATATTCTAAAAATATTCTGGCCTCAAATCATAACTAACTGAGATATCTACAGTAAATCAAAACAGAAACCAGTCACCCTTGATATATATAAAAAAAAGAAGATGGAAATGGATAGCTCACATTTTGAGAATGCTTCCCGCAGGAATACCATCTATAGCCTTAACGTGAGCGCCAAAAGACAAGTGAGAAAGAAGCAGACCTATGCTAACAGGGAGAAAATTACTAGAAGCAGGCAGAATGAACGAGCTGGTCCGAGGGTTGATCCTATACTACAAAAAGTAAAGGGCCTTATGTGCCACTGAGCGCAAAGAAGGATAAGTAAGAATTAAAATTAACTTTAGATAAATATGTCACAGCCCAGCAGAAAAAGTGACATTAGTCTAAAAACAGTAATTTTGAGATTATGTCAATAAAAAATCTGTATAAAGTGCCCCATCAAGCTCAAAAAGTGTCTCATCTCTAGATTGTGCTATTAATAAGGTTTATAAAATAAGGTTTACGAAATAAGGTTTGTAGTATTAAGTTTATATTTTTTTCAAATGCTGTTTTTTGACTTGTGTCACTTTTCTTGACGGGGTGCGATGTAATAATCGAGTAGAAATAATATTTTTTACTATATAAAGGTACTGTATTGAGTTTAGTATACTCTTTACCTTATAAATAGAGAGCATACTGCATTCATTTATAAATTAGAATATTAATTTTTTAATTACAAATTTTACAGGATGTTTTTTGACTGTTGTGATGGAATCTTTTTGAATTATAACTGGACTAAAGACACCCTTCAAAAATCTGTTGAAATGGCTGGTGAGAGGAAGACTGATGTATTTGTTGGTGCTGATGTGTTTGGTCGAGGTTGTCCTGGAGGAGGTGGATTTTCCACTGATGTTGTAAGTGAAACAATAACTAGTACAAATGTTTTAGCCCACAACTTTAGTGTAGCTGTATTTTTGCTGATCTTAAAAACATGAAAAAATTTTCTTGAACAATTAGGCTTAAATCACTGTTGTTTTGTAATTAATTATTCAACTCATTTACTATGAATTTTAAACAAGTATATTTTTATATTGAACTATTTTTAAAATAATTTAGTAAATCTTAAAAGCTCTGAATTCTTAATATCTTTAATTTTGCTCCTAATTCTAAGTTTTTGGAAAAAATGCAACTTTCTGGAAATTACAGGAGTATCAAGTTTTTGACAAATGGTGGTTTAAACCATCATATAAAAGACAGATTGCAGATTTGTGCAGATTTTTTTACAAGGTAGCACTATATAAGAATAAGATCCACCACTTACTGTTCTAAATTCTCAATAAATTTTTCAATATTATTGATTATTTCTTACTTGCGGTAAAGATTGAACACATCTTCATTCTTCTTGCTAGTTAACCAAGATAGATAAATGCTAGAAATATTAAAGTTATAAAAAAAAGTAATTTTAAAAGCTAAAAATAGTTCATTTCAAGTTGTTAATAGATTGAATTTATCTTGAACTTTGTCTAAAGTTGTTTTCTGTTTTGTATAGAAGTGGTGCTATTTTTGTTAATTTCAACATTAATATGGACTTTCATTTTCTATAGTTTTTTTTAGTTCACATTATAATTATGGTCTGAAATTATAATTTTCCTTTTTTTCTTAAAAACTATTTTTTGCAGTCAAATTTTCACTTTTTTTTTCAATAAATGTAGAACAAAAGGGGAATAAGTTCATGCCCATTTTTCGTAAAAATGAATAATCATCAATGAATAATGTGGAAAATCTGTTCTCCTAGATTTATTACACAGTAAAGATGGGCAGTGCTGGCAAAAAATGACTCCTGTCCACATGTAGACAAGAAAAATAAAGAAAATTACAGTGAATCCTTACTTATATTCAATGGGAATATTAGTGTGGAAGTATTGATTGGGGAGGAATTATAGTGAATCCTCACTAATATTCAATGGGAATATTAGTGGGAAAGTATTGAATGGGAAGGAATTTTAATGAAAAAATTGCTCTTCTCCAAACAGATTTTCAAATTTGCTCTTCTCCAAACAGATTTTAGGGGATGTAAAAATTACTTTTGACATTCGTATATATAAATTTTTTTTCTCCCTAATATCAATCAAATGCTTGCTCCTAAAAAATCTCAAACCTAGAAATTCGCTTTTTCTTTCTTCTTCAAAATACGAATTTATAGACACTGACTGTATTTCCCACTCAGTGGCGTACGCAGAATTTTTCCAAGGGGGTGTTCGTAATTTTCTGAAACTACTAAAAGAAATTCGAATCTGTAATAAAGCACTATTATTTCCCTAATTTAGACAGCTAGACAATTTTGACTTTTTATTTAGACAACATTGTTTAGTTAAATTTTGATTTGATATTTTAAGAACATAATGTAATATCTTTTGAAAAAAGTTCAGTGTCATATGGGTGAAAAGTAACACACTCACTTCAATTTGTAAAAATTTTATGCTCTGTTCAGATGAAATTTTTGGTATAGGTTTCATTGTTTCTATTGATACAATTTGTGAAACCTGTATTGCATGTTAACATGATTTACAAAACATGCATTGCATTTTAATTACAAATCCCACATCCAGAATATTGTATCTCCAATCACAGTTCATAATAAGCTGACTGTAAATTGAAACTTGCATTTAAATTCCTATTTCTGAATCATACTTTGCATTTCATATTTTTGTAATTTTATATTTATGTAACTCATCGTATATTTATTATAAGCAATTTCAAAATTAGATATATGACTGACTATTTTCTCATTGAAACAAAAGTATTTCTCATTGAAATGCTATAAAAACTTTTAGCTTTTTTCAAAATTGACCAATCACATGTATGTTTTTTGTTTGATAAAGTCTCTTCATTTTAGTAAACTTCATTAAAAATTTTTTTTCTCCCCCTTTGAACTAGGCTGCTTCTGCAGCAAGAAAATTTGGTTTATCTATGGCTATCTTTGCACCTGGATGGATTTATGAGTGTTTGGGAATCAAAGATTTCAAGGAAAATCAATTCAGGTCAATAAGCTTTTTATAATATTGTTAATGCAGTAAATAGGAATTTAAATGTATTAAGAAATTAAAATTATACTGTGTAAATATCTGTAATCATATTAAAATTAAAAACTCATGCAAATGTCTATGGAAATATAAACTGTTATCTTATAATATATATAATATCAAGATTTTTTTTACATTAAAGGAAAATTTATTAGTCTTGTTATTATTTTTAATGTAAACTCTTTGAAAAGAAATTGCATTGGAATTGAATTGGTTACAAGAATTAATTAAGAAAATTGGGTACGCTGGAAAGGATAGTATTAAAATTAAAAGTTAATACATATGAAAAATTTCTCAAGAAATTGTAATTATGAACAGCATTTATTTTTGTTGTTTTTCTTTATTCTTCATCAATGGAGAACTCTAATAATCTTATTGTATTTATTGAGTTTAATATAAACTCTATGCAAGTAAATTGCATAAGAATTGATTGAGTTAATAAGAATTATTGAGAAAGGAATCAATATAGTAGGAGGGATAATATTAAAATTAAGAATTAGTAGAAATATTCCACGACGTTGTAAATATAAAGTACATTTACTCATTGTTTTGTTAATATTGTTTTTCAACGTTTTTAATGTGTTTATAAAAATATAACACGTCCAATATATATATA